TCTGTTGTACTGTCTGTTGTGCTGTCTGTTGTGCTGTCTGTTGTGCTGCCTGTTGTACTGTCTGTTGTGCTGTCTGTTGTACTGTCTTGTGCTGTCTGTTGTACTGTCTGTTGTACTGTCTGTTGTGCTGTCTGTTGTGCTGTCTGTTGTACTGTCTGTTTTACTGTCTGTTGTGCTGTCTGTAGTGCTGTCTGTTGTACTGTCAGCGTTACCGGCTACTGTCGCAATTACACCGACAGTTATACTTCACGATACTGGCTTTCGCGCTTTTAACTGCATAGGTTATTGCACCGACTGCTCTACTGGTTGGTGTACTGTAAAGTACACTACAATTCCACTGGCAATCAAAGTATACTGTGCTGAAAATTATACTGTTGGCTGTAATAGCTGCCGTACCGGCTATTGTGTTATGTGTATAATTGCGCGCTATTTTGCCACATACGAGTTAGATTTCACACCTGTTCGCTCTCCCCTTTTGGCGTGAGAACGTCGTAGTCAACAGGCGTCTCTGGTCGCCTATGATCCGCCTATGATCCGCCGATGGATCCATGTGGAGGAGACTGGTATAACACGCCGAGAGCATTAGTAAGTGTGTCTTTAATTGATGTATTCGATTGCTGTTAAAGATTAAGGTTAAAAAATAATTATGAGCGGGATATCATGGTCAATAGCAGTGGTTTCAGCAGGTTTCATCCGGATCTTGTGATGAAATGATCATATACAGGAAGCACGATAACTAAAATGTTCAGTATAAATAATTTCATCACTTTTTTATTACTTCTATATCACTTAGCAACGAGTTTGCATTAATAAACTGTAGTCACCTGCAGTAATTTTGTTTTCTTAGCATTTCTACTACGAATATCTTGAGCTTTCTTATGCAATGCTGAGGCTCGCTTGTAATTTTTGAAGAGAGAATATGCTAAATAATTCTGAAATAATCAAATCAAGTTACAGCATTACTCACAGACAGTAACATCGACTTCTGCATGTCGCTCATCATGATTTCGAACTGTGTGCAAGCAACTTCGATCGTCCGCAAGATACATTACTTCAACATACTTCAACAACAAACATCAACAACATTTTACACGCTACAGTTTTTTATCTGATGTGAAACACCACAACTTTACTTACCAAATTCTCCAGCTTGGATTACGCGTGTCTCACGAAAAAAAATTAAACTGAAGCAAATGTTTCACTGTTATTCAATTTAGTCCATTTGACATGAGATAACGTAATAAGTTTCTTAAACTCTTGGTCCAAGTACATATTACATTCCGTCATTTTCAAGTCTGCTGACTCGAGTAATCAGAATGTTTTTAACCTCAATTGAGGTTCAAACGCACATCGAGTCTAGATTGATAGAGGTTTAAAACATGCCATCATCGTCCAGTTGTCAGTGACAGGCTTTCTGTATTTAAAGCTGCTACATAATGCCAGGTTTCTGATGCATGCGCGTAGTGTGAAATAAAGATAGAATGGAGAGAAAGTTAAGGTACCGAATCTGCCGCTCCTGTCCTCCCGCGATCACTGTTGACGTTTACACTGTCTAAGACACTGTCTACTCTACAGCTTACTGTAATGTCTCTCAGAGTACTTTATTTCATCTATTGCACCGTGTATTCTACTGTCTACTGTTACCGGTCGATTTAAAGCAGTATTTCTTTCGCTGTCAGCCTGTCAGGCCAATGATGTCTGCGGGATCGGAACCACTGCTGTCTGCCGAGACACTAGTACATGGACCAGATTCATTGGATATGAAAGCCAGGCTAATTTCTTCCTGTACATTAAAAGTAGTACAATCGAAGTTAACAGAAATTGAAAAAAATGAGATAAGCAGAGTCAATATAGTGTTACTGAAGAATTACTCATGGATATGATAGTCTACACGTACAGCCCAATAGTCCATTTTTTATTTCATCTTACAGAAAACGAAGATTCCCATAAAAGAAAATTACTCCAATTCAATGCATAACTAAATTAGATATTGAAAGCATCAAAATGGTTTAAACGGAATTATTAAACGCTCGCATCTTTACATAAAGACTAGTTTTTGCTTTAATAGCGTGAAGCGTTTCAGACATGACCAGATGAAAAATGTAATCAAATTTGCGAAGCAAAAATTCATCTCAGGTTCATCGGAGGAGAACATGAAAAAAATTTTATTCATCGTACAATAGATGATAGATCTAAGTACACAGAAGTGAATGCACACGCGGGTGAACGGGTGATGCATGACTGCATTCACAGTGATGTCGAATGAATGCTCCATACTACCATACACGACGAGCTATTGACGGAGAAAACCTAGCGGAAAGCCACTGCCGCATCACATTCACTTTCCCACAGAATTTGTTGAGGCTTGAAATAAAAGATTGCTCACCACACATAATATGAATGGTCAAACAATACAAGTGTATAGATACATGCATGTTCTTGTATAGACATGTATCATAATACAATAGAAATGTATGGATACATGCATGTTGTTGTAGACATGTATCGTGACACAATACAAATGTATGGATACATGCATGTGACATTCATACACGTCGTTCTTGTTAAAATAGAAAATGTAGCAGGGTTTCTTTGATAAACTTGTAAAATAAAATATAAAAAAATAAATTATGAAGAAATCTGTTGTGTCTGGATGATGTTGTGCCTGGATGATGTTGTGTCTGGATGATGTTGTGTCTGGATGATGTTGTGCCTGGATGATGTTGTGTCTGGATGATGTTGTGTCTGGATGATGTTGTGCCTGGATGATGTCATACAAAAAGAAATTGTTAATATAATTTAAACACTTCAATAGCTTGTCGTTATTAGGGCATTTTCTCAATTATGGAAAAAAGGCGCTATTGTGTTCGTCATGTTTTCTGCTTTCGACCACGTTTTCGTCGACGAGAAAATGCGCTCTCTGTCACTCACTGCAGTGAGTACTGAGTTATTTTTTGTGGTTATGCATATTAAACGAGGCCGAGTTTGGAGCGTTTATATATATCCTGAGCTGCGCCATGTTCAACCGCCGTGGTTGTTCCATGAAGGGACGGGCGGGAGAAGCGCCCTGCAATAATGGTTCTTCCCATAGTTTCTTCCCCGGACGTTCTCGAGGGTAAGAATATCTTTCGCATGACTCAGCGGGAGAAGACTTCTCCGTACAGCCCTGAGGGGGAGAAGACTTCTCCGTACGGCCCTGAGGGGGTGAAGACCCCTCCGTACGGCCCTGAAGGGGAGAAGACTTCTCCGTACGGCCCTGAGTGGGAGAAGACCTCTCCGTACGGCCCTGAAGGGGAGAAGACTTCTCCGTACGGCCCTGAAGGGGAGAAGACTTCTCCGTACGGCCCTGAGGGGGAGAAGACCTCTCCGTACGGCCCTGAGGGGGTGAAGACCCCTCCGTACGGCCCTGAAGGATGATGACCCCTTAGTATGGCCCTGAGGGGGAGAAGACCCCTTAGTACGGCCCTGAGGGGGAGAAGACCCCTTCGTACGGCCCTGAGGGGGAGAAGACCCCTTAGTATGGCCCTGAGGGGGAGAAGATTTTCTCGTAAGGCCCCTGGAGGAGAGATGCCTCGCACGGCCCCGGGCAGGATACAGGAGGGGCCAGGGAACAACGGGGCACAAAAAAACAATGGGGGAAAAAGACAGTGCATGGGGGCAAGGAACAATGGCGGGCAGGGAAAGCGTATAGCGTCACGGCAGTAATTCCTGTCAGTGCTGGTGCAGTGACAGCAACTGCGCTTCCTGTAGCTGTATAAGCGTCGCTGGCGTTCCTGGAGGCTATGTGGATGACAAGCTGCCCCGTAGAAATATTGCAGTGAATAGACGGCGGAAAGTAGATATTTATTGGTGCAATTTTAGGTTAGAAAACGTTTATTGCTGCAGTTTACAGAGTTAACACCAATCTACTACAGGTGCACACATAGTTTGAAGTCGAATTTTATTTGGGTCGAGTAGGGAACAAATGATATAAAAGACTGGGTGGAGAGACGGGTGGATAAGTGGGAATCATGGGATGAAGAGATAAGTGGGAAGATGAAATGGAAGGGAAAATCCGTTAATGGGATTGAGACAAGTGGGAAGATGGGATGGGGAAACGCGTATAAATATGGGATATAGACATGTAAGATAGGATACAAGGAGGCTTAGCAAAACATGAGTATCGACGTACAATAATAAGCTCGAGGATGGACGCAAGGCATACGACGGTCGTAAGCTTACAACGGTCGTAAGCTCGAGGATGGACGCAAGGCATACGACGGTCGTAAGCTCGAGGATGGACGCAAGGCATACGACGGTCGTAAGCCTACAACGTTCGTAAGCTCGAGGATGGACGCAAGGAATACGACGGTCGTAAGCCTACAACGGTCATAAGCTCGAGGATGAACGCAAGGAATACGACGGTCGTAAGCTCGAGGATGGACACAAGGCATACGACGGTCGTAAGCTCGAGGATGGACGTAAGGAATACGACGGGCGTAAGCCTACAACGGTCATGAGCTCGAGGATGGACTCAAGGAATACGACGGTCGTAAGCTCGAGGATGGACGTAAGGAATGCGACGGTCGTAAGCTCGAGGATGGACGCAAGGCATACGACTGTCGTACGCCCTACAACGGTTGTCAGGTCTGTAACGGTCGTTAAGCTACAATGGGCGCAAGCTCTATATAGGATGCATCCAAGCCGTTCAGAGAAGTGAAGAGCCTCAGAAATTTCTGACCAACAAATAACGGATACATCTTCCTCCACCTTCCCGCTGCCCGATGGCGTACATATTGCGGCTGTCAGGCGCTCGGCAGTGCTTTTGCAAACTTTGCAAAATACATGAAGTACAAATAAATCGCCTGATATCCAATCACATGACCCACAATCACCCGTCAAACAATCACCTTGATATCTATCGACAGACAGCCAATCATCTGGAAATGAATCAATCATCAGACCGGCAATCACAAGACGTACAATCTCCTGACCGGCAAACGCCCCGTATCGAGACTCACCGTAACCCGAGATGGGAAATGCTGGAACTGTTGTCCGACTCGTGAAGATATTTGTGAATGAGCTTTTGTGCTTGCTTTTGCACTTGCTTCTGCAATTGTTTCTGTGCAAGCTGGTTCACAAATTGGTTCTGAGAATGCACATGGTTCGGCGCATGCTTGTCGTGGTTCACACCTTCGTTTGTTGATCCGCGGCCATGTTTGCCTAATTTGTTCCGCAGAAAATCGAGCGTGGACATCCGGTTAGAAGTATTCCGGCTCAAACTTTTCGAGCCTGAGCAACGAGAACCAGATTCGTCGAGAACCTTCATCTCAGAACCTCTGGATTCACGTGAACCAGATTCATTGAAGCTCTTCGAGAACCGACGGTTCGGTTTCTTTAGGTTCTTGCTAAGGCGCCGCCTGGACACTGGACTCGCCGGCTCTCCGGCAGGCAAGTCTGCGGGGCCTCCTGCAGGCGATTCTGCCGTTTTATCTGCAGGCGAGTCTGCGGAGGACAAAGCGCTGTTGGAGCCAGGGGCATCCTGCGTGCCCCCAATGGCGGGAGCCATCGGCCTAGTCATTTTCAACTTTGATTTTCTCCGTGCCACACAACAACGAATTAATTATATAATAATTCAAACATTAATGTTGGTAGCAATTCTTGGGTTTGGCGGTTATAATTAAATTATTTCGAATGTTCCACAGAACTTCAGTTTCAATACCTAAGTAATGGCTTATGTTTTTCCTCCGAGCTCAAAACGTGTCAGCTGTGACAGGTGAGAGATGGATTAACACAGACGAGCAGTGAACAGGCAAGGATGTAAACAGACCATGCGGCGAACAGACGAGGCTGCGAACCGCCGAGGTTGTTAACACAGGCGAGGTTGAACAGACGAAGCTGCGAACAGGCAAGGCTGTTCTAAGGAGCAGCAGGTCTGAAGATCATTTCCCAGAAGCACTCTAATGTTCCTAACGATTCTCTACCTTCGTTTTAATTTCCTCTGTAATTAGAAAATTCTTGTTTAGTTGCTCAAATGTATGACTTTTCTATATAGGTACTCTTCAACAAGTGCTTTATACTTTTTACCAATCCCTAACTGTATTCTTATTAATATTCTTGCCCTTATTTAAAAATCCACTTATACTTAAATGTCTTCCAATTGTCTGCAAGCGGCATCCAAATTGCGTTAAATTTCCCCCGTGCTACTGTGTCACCGCCGAACGCTGCGACTTTCCTGAGGATTTCTCCGCGCAGCTGCGAGAGCGAGATGCGCCGTATGTCGCCCTGCACTAGTTTCCTGTACTAACTCCTAGTGCACAAGTTTCTGGTGCATACGTTTCCTGCACTAGCTTCACACTTACACTGTAGTGTCTAGTGAGTAGTGAAGATGGTACTTAACTAAGCGCAACGGTATTGACTTGAGTACCTATACTCGCTCACGCTCACTGTACTTAGCTTATTGTCCCATTTAGGTGACCTACAGGCTACAGCTCGATTGCTAAGTGTACCAGAAATATACACCCAGTTTCCATCGACTACACCGGTTGCACTCGGCAAGTTTATAAATTTATAATACTAAAAACAGGGTGGAATTCAGAAGGGGTAACATAATTAACAAATGCACATACCATATCGGATCTGAAAATCTTTTACTAGATGTTCCTTTTATAATTAGTTGATATTTTAGAACTGATCAAAGTACCAAACTGATGCGATTTTGATTTTATATGAACCAGCATTTTTAAAATTCCCTCCTAACTAGCTACTAAAATATGGCGCACAGCAACAGGCTTAGCTTGCCGCAGACTGGCGACTCAATCATAGACATTTCTTGATTTAGGAAAAATTAATACGTCAATGTTCATAATCTAGCCATTAGTAATGAATTTATAGGTCAAAATTCCTTGACAATTCTCTCGCATAAGAATAAAACGAAATTGTTCGATGACTCTTAATCTTAGCACAAGCTCGCTCAAATGGAGTTTTACATATTTTACAATCACATTTGTCTTTTTCAATTGTAGTTCATACTTCACGGTAAACCATGCCGTGTAACTAAGGTGTCTTTGCCTGTCAGATTTACAAAGCAACCCTAATAAGCGGTGTCTCATATAATAACAGGTAACAGTGAGACAATTTTTTTTCGCCATGCATTATCCCGGTTCGAATTTGGGTTAGGAGTGAGCCACAACAGGAGCTACAACGCGCACACACCAATCACCACGCAGCGTGCAACTCGACTGAGCTATAAAACTTGACACTTGAGTGACTTGACGGCTGACAGCCTGACGTGCCTGTCGCTGCTTCGACGCAAGAGTGAGAAATTTCTCTGTGGAGATATACAGAAACAGTGAGAAACTCTTGGTGAAACGGTTAAGTGTAAAGTAATCACATACAAAAATTGAATATTTCAGCTACAGGAGAGACGAAATGTCCCGCATTTCAGATGAGTTTCAACAGAGAGTAACGATAAAGCCTGTCGGTAAACTCTACTACTTATATAGAGTTTCACACTAACGATACAAAATTAGACACATAGTATGAACCTATAAATTTATGAAATTTTACATAAGAATTCGAGTCAAGCTAACCTGACGGTTTTCTACGCCATCATTCCGATCACTCCTTTTATCTAGTTTCAACCTCTTTCATCACAGTTGATTGCGTATTTTTTAATGGCATTAAATTCCAGGCCAGCATCTCGCTGTTGTGCGTGTGGAAGCACGCGCTGTGCCGAGATAGAAGTTATAGAACAGCCAAATGAAAAATATCTTCATGCGAAATATCTTCAATTCATTATTACAGAAAATGGCGCCACATCTGAGGATGCAGCGCAACGAGGTGAATAGCACCCGTTGCAAACAAAAGCAAAATCTTCACCTTTACATCAACCGTGCATACTATAGAAGCAAAACGTCATTGCACTGGAGAACAACAGCAGTCCAAAACCACAAGTAAAAAAATGACCACAACAAAGTTTGTCGTCCAACGGCTGGGCGAACTTTTTCTGTGAGAGCTTAGATAATGCGACTGGTGCGCTGAAGTGAACGATAAAAATTTGTCGATCCGCTCAGCGGTGTCTTCAGCGCGATGGTTGAGAGGGAAACAAGTGACAGAAGAGAAAGTAAGGGTGAGAGAACATATGGAAGAGAAGAATGGAGACATAGGGAAGGCAGACGAAATAAGAACTATGAAGAACGCTAATATAGCAGTAGAAAGTTCTATTGGTGCAAAGAGGAGTATGAGGCAGAGGAGCAAAATGGTCGAAGTTGTTCTCATAGAAAATTAATTAGTCCTGTAATAGTTTTAGTTCCATTTCTAACGTGACCTAATAATAATGATGAACCGTTCAAACCCAAGCGGGAAGCTGCAGGGCCTGGCAACACAATAAAATCCAGTATACTATGTATATTATTTTGTCTGAAATCACTTATAAAATGTTCCCATCACGGGTGATTTCTCAAATTACTGTTAAAGTTACAGTTATAATTAAAGATAATTGTGTATATAATTCCTGGATAAGACTAAAATTCCCGAGATCTGTGGACACCGGCCAAAAAATTCCTACCCGAGGCCGCTGAGATCGCGCAATTCCTTTCCCTAGATTAATTGACTCTCCTTTAAATTATTTTTATTTATAATATAGCACCACATTCTAGCCGGCCTGCAGTGTTCAGGCAAGCAGGGAAATACTCCACGTGCTCCGAAATTGTTCACTTACAAATTTTAAAATTGTTTCTCAGGGATGCCGGAAAAACGCACTTGTGAATAAAATATTTTTCTTGCCAACTGCTATCCAAATTAGTAGTAAATAAATTAACAATGGCAGAATTATGACGTAAAAGTTAAATTTTTGTTTGTACGTCTCAAAGAATATGGAATGATTTTTTAATAAAAAAGCGCCGTGTTGAATTATCGTTTTAAATCACCAAAATATCGATGTCAAACGACATTATCAGAAATATTATAGTTACTGCAGGCAACTGTGGTGAACATTTTCTAAGAAAAAAAAACTGAGAAAATATTTGAGTGGGATACTGCTGTAAGGGAATTTTCTCGTCTCTCTGGCAAATATTTTTTTACCGAGATACCGCAAAGAAAAAATGTCGGTCATTGTCCGCCGCAACGGCGACAAAAACAATGCAAACAGCGTTAACGGTGCGGCTAACAGCAACAGCAGCACGGCAAACAGCGACAACAGCACGGCAAACAGCACACCTTTTTAACTCACCACACTGTTCTCAAATTAACGCATCTACCACATAGTTGACGGCTTGACGCATCAACCACGCAGTTGACATCTTGACACATCTACCCCGCAGTTGACAACGTAACACATCTTCCTAACAGTTGACAACTTGAGACATCTTTCACACAGTTGACAGCCTGACACATCTTTCACATAGTTGAAAAATCAACACATCTTCCTCACAGTTGATAACTTGACATATCTACCACACAGTTGACAACATGACACATCTTCCTCACAGTTGACAACTTGACACATCTACCTCACAGTTGACAACTTGACACATCTACCACACAGTTGACAACTTGACATATCTACCACAGTTGACAACTTGACACATCTACCACACAGTTGACAACTTGAGCTTTCTTCCACACAGTTGACAACTTGACACATCTACCCCGCAGTTGACAACATAACACATCTCCCTAATCTTCCTAACAATTGACAACTTGACACATCTACCTCACAGTTGACAACCTGATACATCTTTCACACAGTTCATCTTCACAGTTCATCTTTACTAACAGCTAGTTGACACATCTTCTGACAATTTGACACATCTACCACACAATTAACGATTTAATTAGCTCATCCATGACCAGCTCAAGTCTACCACCAAGTTAGTACTCACCAACACAGTTTGAACCACGTGGAGAACTGGCGCAGCATCTCAATGTGGGAGAGGGTGCTTCACTGCACGAGTTCACTGCATGGTGTGAAGTCACGACAGTGTTGTCCCCATCAGCAGTGAAGTCACGGCAGTGTTGTGATCAGCAGCAGTGAAGTCACGGCAGTGTTGTCCCCAGCAGCAGTGAAGTCACGGCAGTGTTGTCCCCAGCAGCAGTGAAGTCACGGCAGTGTTGTGATCAGCAGCAGTGAAGTAGCTCATGTGATGCACTCTATCAATCCATTTCAAGTCACGATGCAATGACCAAGTGATTTTAGCGCCATAAAATCATTGTTTAAGTCACTTTCAATTATACTTGATTATCATCTAACTACTGAGCTAGGAACTAACCTTCGCCCGTTGCCACTCTGCCTAATGTTCTGTAACGGAAGCAAGGCGTTATACAAGAACGTCATTCACACGCGTTATATACACGAGCGTTATGCATACACGTTATATGCACGAGCGTTACTCGCACGTTATATACACGAGCGTTACTCACACGCGTTATTTAAACGAGCATTATTCATACACGTT